TGCCGAGCTGTGTTCCCAGGGACGGATGAATTAATCCGTTAACGGTACTTTTTCGGCAGCAGGCAGTGCGAAACGGCACGTGCTGCCTGATCCGCTGTCACTCGTGTCGGCTCGGCGGAGAGGCTCTTGCCGTTCAGCTTGTGCTGGATGAAACGACCCAAGCGTGATGAACCTCTTCGGTGTAAACAGCTCTGCTGATGCTGGATGTCCACCAGGCAAAATAAGTTGTTTACAAAACCTGTCCTGTCCAAAATGGTCTCGTTAGTACGGGTGACAGCGTGTCTTAGATGTGCAGAATAAATGGTCTCGTTAGTAAGGGTGACCGCGTGTCTTCGCTGTGCAGAATGGGATCCTTGGACCTTTCTGGAACTCCGTCCTCTTACTCCTGAGTTTCCCCAGTGAGTGGAGTGGGTGGGAAGTGCTGGTCCGTCTGTCCGTGAAGGAACGATAGAAGCAACGTGGTAAACCCCTTCCACTCAGAGCAGGCAGTAGGCACTTTTTGGTCCATCGGTGGTCACAGGTTCAGCTTCTGGTTGAGCTGGGAAGTTTTGACTCGAAACTTGTCTGCAATGTTAGTAGCAGTGCAGGCGGATCCTTCCTGTGTACAAAGAGATCCGCTAATTCTACAGGACTCGGTCGCTGAAACATGGTTGATGTTTGTTGTTCTTTCGTTCCTGATTGTTTTTTCCCAAAGCGATGGTCTTTGTTTGGCAGCTGAACAAAGCCCCGTTGCTTAATGCTGTTTGGTGTTGAACTTCCAAAGGAAACGTGCATGAGGCTCCATGAACGGAGAAGTTAGAGATTGTTCCCCTGCCGTGTGCCCTCCTATCTTTTGGAGAAGGCTGCTGCTAAATGGCAGCATGAGTAGAACGAATTCATTTTGTCCAGGCATGGTTGCTCCGAGTTCTCTGCGCAGCTATTTCTCATTTTATGTTCCATCCTGGGTGGTATTTTTTTTACTGTTCCAGATTTGTGTTTTCTACAGTGGTTATGGCGTGAGATGGGAATTCCGAAAAAGAAAATACAAAACAATAACACCAACAAAATTCCCCCAAACAAACCGCGCTTTATATTTCAGAGCCTGTCTTCTTTTCCTAATCCTTTTTTTGCATGTTTTGTGGAATAAATGTTTGTCCTGGTGGATAGCGTTTAACTTGAAGGATTTGCTCTGATGGACGTTTTGCGTTTCATTTCACATCTGCACAGAGATAGGTGCGAGGTGGTGACTTCACAAAGCTAGCACACTTTGTCTAACAGGCGGTAAACATTTACATGTTTCAAGCAACAGTTACCAGTACTTTTCCATTTACGCTAAATCACCCTCTTTCCCATTGGTTCTTGCATGTCTCGTTTCTACTTAAAGTCCCACTATGCTTCCTATTTGCTGCACATGTTCCATGGAGAAGGGGTTTTTTTTTGGTAGCGGGGTTTCACTGCCCGAGGGCGGTTTTTTTACTATGCTAATTAGGATAGTTTACTCACAGCTCATGTAGTCTTTTTTCGATCAGCAGTTTTGTTTCGTTCAGCACCCATTTTAGTAGCTTTGAATTACAAATGTGGCTCTCTAAGTCTACCGTGCTAGTCCTTATCAGTTCCTTTTGTTCTCTTGCTGTCCTCCTTTTACTGGTTTGATGCGAGTGTGGTGAACCTCTTTGGTGTAATGAGCTCTGCTGATGCTGGACATCCACCAGGCAAAATAAGTTGTTTGCAAAACCTGTCCTGTCCAAAATGGTCTGTTTAGTAAGGGTGACCGCGTGTCTTCGCTATGCAGTATGGGATCCTTGGAGCTTTCTGGAACTCCGTCCTCTTTCTCCTGAGTTTCCCCAGTGAGTGGAGTGGGTGGGAAGTGCTGGTCCGTCTGTCCGTGAAGGAA